AACTGGAGCATACGATAAGACAGAGGCAGTAGAGAGAGGTGAGCAGTCAGTCTGGAAACCATCTTGAAGAGCCTCATATGCCATGTTTGTAGGCCAACAGGGGCACTGTGGAGGATTTGGACAGCACTTGCCCATGTGTCCAGTCACTTGGACAGCACTGTATACAATGAGTTAGAGTAGCCAGGCAACTAGGTGAGGAATCCACTTCAATAATGTAAGCTGGAGGTGAGCACAGTGGTCACAGAGATGGAGCACGGGGATGGTTTGGAAAGGTATAAAGGAAGTAGAATCAACAGAGCTTCTCAACAGATGGATGTGAGGTTAAGAGAGAGTAGGTGTGATTGAAGTGATGAATAAACCATAGACCTTATATAAGGACCCTACAATATAGGCATATACAAAAATACAAAATATACAAAATACAAACTGTAATATAATTCAAACCACAGATTTGTGTGCCTCACTTAACAGAAGTTTGTGTGTCTACTTTCCAAGTATCTTGGAAGCATTATTGTAGATTAACAAATCAATAATTGATCACTGACAAAGGAATAGTACATGTGAGGATTAAGTATTGAATAGCTCTGGTGTATTACACTCTCAAGTTCTCAAAAACAGAACAAATAAACTGAAAAGAAACCAACACTAGCTGTCTGGAAACATTTTAAGTAAAACATGTTTTCCTCTGGCTCACTACTTACAGCTATTGTCCCACAGTCCAACTTTAGCTACCATGCCAATGCCTCTAAAAGTTTCTCTTCCATTTCCTGGCAACATTTAGCTGGTGGTGTCTGTTACCTCTGGTAGAAATCACAGTGATACAATACATTTACACAGTGCATTAATCTCTCCAGCTCCTCCTGTTGTGCAAATAGCTCCATAAATGTAAATTTGGCGCTTGAAAAAACAAATATTTTGGCCTTATTTGTCCTTTTACATAGACATTTTGCACAAACATTTTAGCTTACTATGTGTCACTATAACATTAATTGGTGTTATTTTCTATTATGTTTTAATAAATTATGCATATGCCTTTAAAAGTTCCTAGTGGAACATAACCTGGGGCATAACCTAGTCTCTGACTGAATGTGGCCAGTATTCTCATAAAATTTCTCAGCAAGGCCAGGAACGGTGGCTCATGCCTGTAATCCTAGCACTCTGGAAGGCCAAGGCGGGTGGATTGCTCAAGGTCAGGAGTTCGAAACTAGCCTGAAAAAGAGTGAGACCCCGTCTCTACTATAAATAGAAAGAAATTAATTGGCTAACTAAAAATATATAGAAAAAATTAGCTGGGCATGGTGGCACATGCCTGTAGTCCCAGCTACTCCAGAGGCTGAGGCAGTAGGATTGCTTGAGCCCAGGAGTTTGAGGTTGCTGTGAGCTAGGCTGACGCCACGGCACTCACTCTAGCCTGAGCAACAAAGCTCTGCCTCAAAAAAAAAAGAAAATACCTCAGTGTTTCCATAAAGCCACTGGCAAGTGATAGCAACCCATTTTTGCAGATGAGAAAATTGAAATAGCAACTTAGATGTATCACCTAAAGCCTCCTTGTCCAATAATGTTTTCCTTATATATGTTGTTTCCAAAATAATATGGCTCAAAATAAAACAAGCATATTCACATGTCAGATAACAAGTTTATATAATCTCTTAGTTACAGATGCAGTTCCAGAAGGAGGTGGAAGGCATCCAAAACACAATATTGTAATTTTTATAAAACGAGATAGAAAGGACTGGGAAACAGTCCAAGAGGCTTCTAGACAACAACAGCCTCCCCCTAATTGGAGTGAATTCATAAGATAATAATCATTAGGTTTATTAATATCCATTGAAATACAAAACAAAATAAGAAATACAATTTATACCTTGGCTTGCTAAGTAGCAGAAAAACACAGTATTTGCCTGCATTTGTTTTGTTATAGCTTCATACCAGTGATAATCAGAAAAAACTCCTGGATAGGCTGTACAAGTGGTTTTCTAGCTTCTTTTAATAAGGAACTAATAAATTGATATCTCTGGTATTAAATTCCTTAAGTAATTTATGCATGTCAGAAATTGAAGTATAAATCACTTTTTAACATTAAGACAAACCCCTGTTCAATACAGTTTCCTGACCAGCTGTCCTAGTACCTTCAGGCTGCTATAGCAAAGCACCATAGACTGAGTAGCTTATCAACAACACAAATTTATTTCTCATGGTTCTATAGGCTGGGAAGTCCGAGATCAAGGCACAAGCAAATGAAGTGTCTAATGAGGACCCGTTTCCTGGTTCACAGATGGCATCATCTCACTGTGTGTCCTCACATGATAGAAGGGGGAAGGCAGCTCTCTGAAGCCTCATTTATTAGAGCACTAATCCCTTATTAGAGGCTCTAATCTCTATTAGAGCCTCCCATCCCTACCTAATCACCTCTCATCCCTACCTCCTAATGCCATCACATTGGTGGTTAGGTTTCAACAGAGGAATTTGGAGGGGACACAGCATTCAGACTATAACACCAACATCTTAAAACCACTGGTGTAGGCAAGTCAGGCATTATTAGGTTGTGGAATCTGCTTTGCTTTTTATATACTAGAAACCCAAGGTCTTAAACATTTTTGGTTAAGTCTTGAAGATAACACCAACCATGCTTCATATGTTCAAGTAGTGTCTAGGAAATGCTTTGTAGAACCCACATTTGAAAACTAATATATAACTGTTTATATTGTGGTTGTAGTATCATTGAAATCTAACCATCATAAAAAATGTCCTCCATACCTAACTCATACCTTTACCAAATGACATCACATTAAATTTGTCAAAATCAGTCTTTTTTTTTTTTTTAAGACAGAGTCTCACTCTGTTGCCCAGGCTAGAGTGAGTGCCGTGGCGTCAGCCTAGCTCACAGCAACCTCCAACTCCTGGGCTCAATCAATCCTCCTGCCTCAGCCTCCCTAGTAGCTGGGACTACAGGCATGTGCCACCATGCCCGGCTAATTTTTTGTATATATATTTTTAGTTGGTCAATTAATTTCTTTCTATTTATAGTAGAGACAGGGGTCTTACTCTTGCTCAGGCTGGTTTCGAACTCCTGACCTCGAGCAATCCCCCCGCCTTGGCCTCCCAGAGTGTTAGGATTACAAGCGTGAGCCACTGCGCCCAGCCAAAATCAGTCTTTAATACCTAATTTAGAATGACAGATCTAAATGGAGGAGGAAAGGAAGGAACATGGAGGAAATTATAGAACTGTGCTGTCCAGTATGGCTAGCCACTAACTGCACCTGGCTATTCAAATTGAAATTTAAGTAAAATTGAATAAAATTTAAAATTTAGTTCTTCACCTGTAGTAGCCACATTTAAAGTACTCAGTAGCCACATATAGATAGCGGCTACTGTATTGACAACATAGATATAGAACAACACAAAGTTTAACAACACAATCTAGAAAGTACTGATACAAAAAGTACTTTAGTTGCTAGTGTCTTATATGTTTATATAAAAATGCCCATATAATGGCTTCTCAAGAGGAAAGATTGTTAATAAATAGAAACCATAATTTTATTTCTATGTCAAAAAAGTAACTTTTAAATTTATAAATCCCACCTTCTTCCCTAAAACTCCTACCCTAAAAGATTTACAAATATAGAACTTGTAAAGGCTACATGTACAGAATTATAAGTAGAGCCAGTTCAGGATTCCCAGATTTGGGAAAAATGATTTCTGAAAGCACTCCATAAGAGAAAATTTTCAAGTATGACAACAAATTTTTCTAACTCATTTTGTACTACTCTTCCCTTCTACATATTTTGCTGATTACTGTCTTCTTCACAATGTGTTGTCATATATATTTTCTTTTTTAATTTCTATCCAAGGACATTAATCTGATTACTTATGACTGTAGCTCCTTGTTAAACAAAGGCCAATGTATAGTCATTTTTGTGTGTCATCATCTTAAAGGCAGGATGCTTGCATAGTCTAAATTGTCTTCCCATATATTACTTCTTTAGTTACAAGGGATAAAATAGTAACTATAAAATGGAAAAACAGTGCGGGTGTTGGATGTGGTGGGCCTCTGGATACCCTGAGAAGCATTCAACATCACATATATTTATATCTAAGTGGAATACATGACCTGAATTTAATCATGAGGAAAACATCAGCCAAAAACAAAATGAAGAATATTTTATTTTAAAAGTAGCCTAATTCTGGCCGGGCGCGGTGGCTCACGCCTGTAATCCTAGCTCTCTGGGAGGCCGAGGCGGGTGGATTGCTCGAGGTCGGGAGTTCGAAACCAGCCTGAGCAAGAGCGAGACCCCGTCTCTACTATAAATAGAAAGAAACTAATTGGCCAACTAATATATATAGAAAAAATTAGCCGGGCATGGTGGCTCATGCCTGTAGTCCCAGCTACTTGGGAGGCTGAGGCAGAAGGATCGCTTGAGCCCAGGAGTTTGAGGTTGCTGTGAGCTAGGCTGACGCCACGGCACTCACTCTAGCCTGGGCAACAAAGTGAGACTCTGTCTCAAAAAAAAAAAAAAAAAAATGTTGATGTCATGAAAGATGGAGAGAGGAAGGCTACAGGAATGAATGAGGAACTATTCCAGATTAAAGGAAACTAAAGGGATACCACAACTAAATGCAATATGCGATCCAGGTATATATTCTGGTCTAGAAGTGAAAAAAAAAAAAAACTAAAGATGATGTAATTGGGACAAGTCTCCAAATTAGAATATGAATGATTACATTAACTATACTGTGGTTATGTTAGAGAATGTTTTGTTCTGGGGAAATACACAATGATGTATTAAAGTGTAAAAGGGTACTATATCTCCAACTTATTCTCAAATGATTTAAGAAAATAATCCTGTGTGTGAAGAAAGAGAATATGATAACAAACGTAGCAAAACATTAACAGTGAATTTGGGTAGACTACACAGGAGTTCTCTATTAAGTCTTGCAACTTTTCTATAAATTTGAAGTTATTTCAAAATAAAAATGAAACTCAATTCAATATTTTCTAGCCCTTTCTAAGGCACAAAATGATGTGATGACAATGAAGATGCAATCAGAGAGACTTTCTAAAGAATATGATCGACTCCTGAGAGAACATACTGAGGTTCAGGTGAGTGACTTTAAGGGCCTGTATTTTTTGAAGTAGCAATTACCTAAGTAAACTATTTGGCCTAGTTGCCCTTCCCTAATCAAGAGGATGTGCTTTAATCCTGGCTTTGTTGAATCATTAAAGAAGTCTTATTTTTACCTAGAAGGTAAAGATTAGGACATTGCAAGAAAATACAAGGTAATCATAATATAAGGAATTGCTGACATGCTAACTTACAGCATTCCAGATTTGGTGAAAGTTTAACTCAAAGAATTGATCCACAAAACTGGAAGCATTGAAAAAGATACTAGTTCTAGAAAAATTGAGCTTTGCTATTTGGAATGCTTGCTATATTTGTGCCAAAATGAGGCCAAAAATTCAAGTGCCACATCCCACTGCTCCTTTTGTCCCAGTGTTTTAGACATCTTAGGACAAAGACTATAGCATTCAAATGTGTGATTTATTTCCAGAAGTTGATTAGCAAGATGGAAATAGAAAAAAATGTTATTGTTCAAGCCACAAAATCAGATCTGGGCCATAGTTTTTCTTTTTCTTCTTCTCTAGTTCCACAAGAATAGGTTCCAAACATTCATCCATGTTGGGCTTGTCTTTCCCCCATCTTTTCTGCTGCCAGCCACTAACCCGAATTGATTTCCCAGCCACTCTTTTTTTTTTTTTATATGGACCCACACTTACTAAGTACTTTTTTTTCACTCCATCTCTAGATAGTCCTAAGTAAGTAAGGATGGAGAGAGTAAGTTAAGGAAGTATGAGACAATAAGGCATCTTGGGTGCACAGAGAGTCTCATTCAACTTTGTTTTCTAAATCAACTCGATGAGTTCCTTAACTCTCTCAAAGACCCAGATTTTGGAGGTGGCAGATTGAAGGTAGGTCTTCTCTTCATAGCCCAGCCACTCTTTGACCAGTGTGTGGAGACTGGGGGGAGACCATTCCAGAAGCATCCCTAGTACTCCTCCCAGTTCCTCCCAAGAAAGACAAGTTGGGCTTAGTCCTCATAATTTGGCAGCCTTTGTGGCTTTCAGTCAGGGCTTTTTACCAAGTACAGCTCTTTGTGTCACTGCATGCACTTCCCTGGATGTTAGTGGTCATTGTATCCCCAGGGTCCAGCACTGTGCCTGGCATGAGGCAAGCAGGCACTATACTTACAGACATTGGAATCAGACATACATGGAATACCTATACCTGGTCTAGTTTTTTGTCTTAGGCAGATTATATCATCCCTTTGAGGCTCACTTGTTTCATCTGTAAAATCTGAGTAATAATAATAATGGCTGGCTCACTGAATTGTTGGGATAACTAAATAAAATGTGTAGAGTGCTTAGTACTAAGCCTGGCTAGTAGTAAACACTCAAGAAGTAACAGCTGTTATCATAATTATCATCAGCACCATCATCAACATCAGTATTACTTCCTCTGTAAAAGTTTTACTGAAAGAATGACTTATTTTCAACCAGCCACTTTGACCCTTGATTTAGAGCCAGTCAGGGAGCAGTCCAAAGCAACTTTGTAATCTGATAGTCCCAGTAGATTTGCATGTTTGAATTAACTAGCCTACTTTGATAATAGCAAGAAAAAGGGTGTCCCAGAGAAGCATGGATACCTATGTCCTCCAATCCCAGGATACCGAGGGTTCAGTTCACATGGTCTGCGGTAGGTAGTTAGATTTTCAGCAAGACCACCCCTTCCCCATTTCCAAAAGAGAGATCCTGAAATTGCTCCCCTCATTGGGGCACAATAAGAATTACTCCATCTTTCAAGATCCACCATGGGAAGTGAATAAGTCACCTCAGAGACCTCTTGTCTGAAAACATTTTCCCCCTATTTGTGAGGTCACAGTGTACTCAACAGGGATAAATATCCACACCAGTGACTTTGCCATGGCGTCAGAAATGTTTTGAATGGAAAAAGGAAAACCGGGAATATGCACTCAATTTCTTACAGCTAGTGTCCATCGCTGACTGTCTCCCTTGTGGTAATAGCTAATGGTTCTCTTAATCCTGAAAAAATACATGGAACAGTGAGATTCCCGCAACCATTTCCTTCCCCTAAAAAAGCTACCTTCAGTTTAGAGCTTCTGCATTCTTGCCAAAGGATATAGAAAGCTTTTATGAGCAATTCTTTCCCAAGAAAATAGTTGTTGTACTTGTTTCTTTGGAAAAGAATGTGTTTACTCTCCATGACAACCCTCTAAGTTAAAATGTTTTAATATCCCTATTTTGTGGATGAAGAAGCTGAGACCCAGAGATGATTTATAATTTACTCAAAGTCACTGAACTAGAAGGAGATAACATTCAAAAGTCAGGAAATCTTTCCAGAACCTCCATCATAAATCACTATGTTCTTCAGGCAGTGCCGGTCATTGAACTGTGTGTTCTTGCATCCATTCTCTCTCACTGCTGCTCTACTCTGTATCTCAGGGAGCTTCATCTCCTAGGCGACCTTGTTCTTTGACTTCTGGGCAGGTTTAGCCAATTGAAGGCCCCAGTAGAAGACTGAAGGCAGGAGGAAGGTGAAAGCCAGGGATTTCTCTTATTCTCTCTGCTTTAAGTGTCTTCTCCTTCATGGCTCGAGTTCCTTCCCTCCGTGGTCCCAGTTCCCACCAGCCAGCTGCTACCTATTGGCCCTCACTTCTGGGAACCATATCCTCCCTCATCCCTCCTGCCCAAGGAGTGATGGTGGCTTTCTGAGGTGCCTTACTGCACCCTGTTTGGCGTGTCTACTCCCTCATCACCTATAAAACAAACTCCCTGTAATAAATATCTGTGTTTGAAGGCAGAAAACAATCTCAGCTCCATAGTTTACCAGTTCTGTAACCCATAGGTGACTCATTTGCCATCTATGCACCTCAGCTATTTCATTATTTAAATGAGGGCTATAAGGATTAAACCAGATCCTAAAGAATGCACTTTAAATATTTTTAATCAAGAAAAGCTCTATACAGCCACAAAAGGCTATTAGTTATGTCTTGATTGGTTACATTTTTTTTCCCATCTACCTACCTACCCCCACCATTGTTCGGTATGAGAACCACCTATATAAGTTTCTGACATTTAGGTGTCATTAAACAAGAACCCTTTTCTTAAAAGTAACTCTTGAACTTTAATGTTCACCACCTTCTGAACTTTGCTTGAGAAGCAAAAGACCATCTATAGTAAAAAGCTGTATCAAATTGTCCTCACAAATTTTACTTCTGCTGTCAAACGCACCTTAGTGATTGCATTATATCCTAAAGTTCTTTGGAAGACATGTGAGCTTTCTCAATTTTTCATGGTTGACATACTTTCAGTGAAACAATCATAAAACAAAGAACTGTTACAATACTAAGGAAACAAAAGTTAAACAGGGAAAAACTTGTTTCTTTACTGTAAACAGATCCTACTTTGCATCTTTTGAGTTGGTTTGGATTTCCCCATCTGGTCCCCTCCCTATTATAGGCACTAAATAAATATTAGAAAACAGTCCCTTCAAAACATGTAGTCTTTGCCTTTCCTTATTTGTCCTGGCTCTCTTCTAAAAAAAGAAAGAACTAACAAGGGCTTGTTGGAAGCACAAACCCCTCAGCACCTGCCAATTTTTAAATTTCATTTTGGAAAATCAACCTTTAATTAAGGGACTTGTCCATAAGAACAGCTTCATTAAAGCTTTGATTTTTATCAAAAGGTGTCAGATTTGTATAATTTTGTGGAAGCAGTACGTTATCATTTGGAATACCTCCTCTTATCTTCTTTGGTTGCTTAATGTTATTAAAGTTGCTCTGAAAGCATTAATGCCCAGCCTGAACAAGAGCTTGATGAACTTCCTGTATAAGCAGTATCATTCTGCAACTCCATTTTATGGGATTTTTTTTCTTAATGTAGACATTTACTTTCTGAGTGCAAGTGATCTCTTAAGGTTAATTTCTACTCGATTTTCCTTCAGTTTTAAATGTCATGTTAAGTCATCTTTGTAACATAATCAGCAGAATATAATTCAAGAAGTCAGATCTATTGGCAAATAAATATCTGTAGGAGAAAGAAAAAATAAAAGCAAACCCAATGGGTTTTTTTGCTTCCCTTCATTCTTTCCTTGCCAAAAATCTTATTTGGGTTTGCAGTAGGGGAATTTTAAAAATTATGTTTTTCAAGGTGTAACTTGTGGAACAAAAGCAAAATAAATTAAGGCAGAAAAAAATGAACTTATCAGTGTTATTTTTTCCCCTCTAAATAAAAAGCACTAATTTTATAGTTTTTTAAATTTGAGATTTTCTCAGTCCATTTGTTCACATTTGATCTTGCTCATAATTATAATGGAAGAGAAAATTTTTTTAAAAGTCCTGGTCATATCTGTGAATCTGTTTCTCACCCTTTGCTGTACTACATGTCACATTTTTTTTTTTACAGGATCGTTTAGAAAAAAGCAATAAGAAAGGCCTGTGAATGTTATAAAAGAAGATTGTGATACATCGTGTCAAACGATAAATTTGTTATCATGTTAGTCTCTAGAAATTTTAAAATTCAGTTCAGAAAAATGCATTATGACTGGTCAGTAATTTTTTTAATGCCGCACATAAGTTATATCATAATGGCACTATCAAAATGTTTGATGTTTCAGATATATTGCAAAGTCTATATTCCAACTCTAAGAAAAATATAAGCATGTTAAATACCATATTTACATATTGATAATAATACTGGTGTTTGGTGGCTATTTCCCAATAAAAGGAAAAATTCATTAGCCAGTTACTTCCAAAATTAGATTTTTTAAGTTGCATGAAAGCATTAATAGCCTTGAAAGCTTTGATGAGTTTTCAATAATAATAATAGTCTATTTAATCATATAATTATGTGTTTGAAAATATTGTTTGAGTATCAGCAAATTTGTTCACAGAGTATATAAGGATAACTGATCAGAATTAGCCTCTGTATTCATAGGAAAGAGTCAAAAAGAACAAACAATGACCTTAGTTTTTCTTAAGCCTGATGATACTATGGTTTACTCTAACAAGACAGCTATATTGATAATTATATTTTTGTTACTATGCTTCTGCCCTGTTGCACTGGTTCTTGCTGACTTTTGTGTTAATGCATAATTATTAGTAAGCATCCTGGCTTTTCAAGTTTATCTAGTAATAGAGTTTACATCTATTTGCATAACTGCCATAGCACTGAACTAAATTTATTTTACAACAATGTGAAATGCTTAACTTGAAAAGTTAATGTATGACATCCAAACAGCAGTGTTTTTTGTGGTTGTGAGAGTAACTAATTATACGAATATTACCTCAAATATACACTCATGCCACACAGTTTTCCTGAGGTGTTTCTATATTCTGAAAGCTAAATATTAAATACTGTTTTTTCATTGAAATATTCATTTAGAATTTCCTTTAGAAGGTGGTCCTGATTATAATATTGATAAAATTTAGTTTGTTTCGGTGTTTAGACATGAAAATTATCTTCCTTGTCTCATAAAGACCTAAGTATAAAAGAAAACGGAAAATAATTCCTGGAGTTTTTACTTCTCTGGTTTTTGTTTCATCCTCTGTTTATTATAATTTTAGCACCAACTTCATGCATATTTAATTTTTTATTGTAAAGTAGATGAAATGAGCAAGTACATAAAAATTTTATTTGAGATAAAAGTCAGGAGTTACTGCTAGAAAACAGACATGTAGGAGACATTTAACAGGAGTAAGAAATGGGAGTTAGACCATATGGGCTGACAACACCATAAATAACAAGAAAAGGGAGTGCTGAAATAGAAGTGAACAAATGATAGCTCAAAGCATAGACTTAGAAATATCAAAGTGAGAGCTACATAGATAAATATATAGATATTGAAAATTTGGGATCCTGGCCTACTTTACATGAATCAAGTCTAATGTCAGAATAACATGCAGGAAAGTAGAAAATGCACAACTTTAAAGTTGGCAAACTAGGCCAAATTTGGTAGCTCATGCCTATAATCCTAGCGCTCTGGGAGGCCAAGGTTGGGGGATCACTTGAGGTCAGGAGTTCCAGGCCAGCCTGAGCAAGAGTGAGACCCCATCTCTGCCAAAAATAGAAAAAATTAAGTGAGTGTGGTGGTGTGTAGCTGTAGTCACGGCTGTGTGTAGGGGGGTGCCGAGGCAGGAGGATCGCTTGAGCCCAGGAGTTTGAGGTTGCAGTGTGTTATGACGCATCTGCACTCTACCCCGGGTTACAGAGCAAGACTTCTCTTAAAAAAAAAAAAAGTCAAACTAAAATCTAATCCCATATAAACTGGCTCAAGTCTGAAAAAAGATAAAAAAGGGAAAAAAATAAAATCTAATCCCAGCTTCAACACTTATTTAGCATGCAAGACATCTATTACCTCATCTCCAAAATGGGAATAATAAAATTTAGATCAGGATTGCTGTATAAACTAAGATAACACAGTGATTTTCAAAATTGTTCAGACTGTATAGAAAGGAGAAAGTCTGGGTACACTTTGAAGAGCATGAGGATTTGAAAGAGTCCCAAAAGAGCTCTTTAAAGTTTATATTTAAGGACTCTTAGACTTTAACCCTCTCAATTTTAAAGATCTATAACCTAAGGCCTCACAAGTTGGAGCAGTTTTTTCAAGGTAACATGAATAGTTAGATTCAGAGCCAGGATTGGAGTCTAGAATACAGGTATCCTGGTTCCCAGGTATTACTCTAGTCTTCATACACAGACCACCTATAATTTCTAAACAGAAGGTATTGCCATGTATTCCCCAGGGTTTGAGCCAGAGAGTTTGGCTCCAGAGTCTGCCCTTTACCAGCTACCTGTCTCTCAAGCTATGTTTGTTGGGTCTTCCTATTGTTCTCCTTACCAATGATGGTGTTTAGCAAAGCATATAAGTAAATATGTATCCAATGGATCTAGTTATATTATATATTAAATTATTTTTTCCCATTGTCAGTAATGACTTCATTATTTGTTAGGCTATATTATGAATTCAAACACAAGAATTTTATCCTTACCTTTTTCTATTAGAATTACCTGGAGTTTTATCAAACTTTTCTCCCTTACTTGTAAATCTGCCTTGGAGTTCTGGTCTCTAGGAAGTAACTCTTAAGAAGTTCCAGCTACACTCTAGAATTTGGGATGAGTCATCTTTGTTGCTTGTCCAGCTCTGTCTGGCACCCCAGTACTGATAACTAGATTCCTTCCTTGTTCCTTAGGGCTTAAGTCCCTCTCTTGGCTATTTATCCCAGTATTCTGGGATCTAGGATTTTCTTTCAGTGACATAGTCCTGCCCCAGAACTCTAAGCTAGAGTCTGAAGTTTAACTACTTTCTGAGATGTTGTCCTATTGCCCCTAGCCTGCCTGGATCTCTAAATCTTACCCAATCTTGGTGTTCTTGGTGCTGTTCACTCTTTTCCTGCAGTGTCACTTCTGCTTCCTCACTGGGCCTCCCAACCACAGCTGCTGGGATGCACCTGCACCTGTTGTCCGTCTCACCACCCCTCCCATCTGTGGATCACCACAGCAGAACAACCCATGCCCAGCCCACTGACATGTGACACACTGTGCATTTTAGTGCCCACTATATAGCGTGTGAATATAGCAGTGCTTTTAACCACTTCGGGACCAGCGTTGACCGTAGTCGACAGCCACAGATGAATGCGCACAGCCCAGCGTCGACTGTAGTCATAGCCACAGATGAACGCGCACAGCAACAAGGCACACAGTCAAGCATCGACTTTAGCCAACAGCTGTGATATGACTTTTCTAATTTTTCATTTATCATAATTGTGATTTTAAAATTTTGACATATATGTATATGTTACCTATTCTGATTTACATTACAAGTAAAGCTGCCTGTAAAGTAAAACAAGCTTTCAGTGCGTTAAAGCTTTCCTCACACAAGAGCAACGGATTCGCCGTCAATGCGCCGTCAATGCACAGCACAAACTATCGTGCGGACTATGAGTGCCAGCTGTGGGCGAGGTTTCTCGGCCAGTGAGCGCGGTCCCGATGTGGTTAAGCATTGGCTTTTACTTTAATGTCTAGACGGATTTGTTTAGAGTCCATGTAGCCTAGCTTCCTTAGCCTACCTTTCCTAGAAATCTTGAAAATCTACTTTTGAAAGTTCTATTTTATTTTTCTTTTTTTTAACATTTCATTTACTAAATGGAATTTTAAAAATTGCTTTCACAGTGTTGCTTTCTACCTTGATATCTAAACATGTGACTTTATTAGTCCCTCCTTCTATAACCAGAAGTGATTTCAAACACTTCAGGAACTGTGGTAGGCTGAATTATGGCCTCCCAAAAGATATCCCTGGAACCTGGGAATATTGCCTTCTATGGTAAAGGATGTGATTAAGTTAAGGATCTCGAGATGGAGAGATTGTCCTGGGTATTCTGGATGGGCCGTAAGTGCAGTCACAAGTATTCTTATAGAGAGAGGCTAAGGAAGATACTGCCATATAGCAGAGGAGAAGGCAGTGTGACCACGGAGGCAGAGATTGTGGTGATGAAAGCCATAGCAAAGGAATGTTGGCAGCCACCAGAAGCGGGAAGAGGCAGGGAACAGATTCTTCCCTGGAGCCTCTGGCAGGAGCATGGCCCTGCAGACACTCTGAAACTGATATTGGACTTTTGGCCTCCAGAATTATGAGAAGAAATTTACAGTTTGGGTGCGGTGGTTCACGCCTGTAATCCCAGCACTTTGGGAGGCTGAAGCAGGAGGATTGCTTGAGGCCAGGAGTTCCAGACCAACCTGGGCAACATAGCAAGACCCCTTCTCTACAAAAAGAGGTTTTTTAAAAATTAGCCAGGCATGATAGTTCACCCAACTACTCAAAAGGATGAGATCCTCTTAACCTCCTCTCATATATGTATTCTTACCAGCCAATTGATTTTTTTGAAAAAAGTGCGTAGACCATATTATTCCTGCTCAGAGTCTCCCAATTAATTCCCATTGCACTTGAGATCAAACTCCCAAGACTTCACCAGGCTCCCACCTACTCTCCAGCCTTATCTCTGACCACCCGCCTGCCATTCTCACCTGCATTCTTCCTTTTCCCCCTTGGATATAGATCATGATACACCTACATTCTTATTCTTCTTAGAACAAGCCAAGGCTTTTCTCCAGGATTTTTGCAAACATAGTAAATGCTGCATCCCAGGCCTCTCTGTCTTCTTACCCTATTTTATTTTCATCATAGCATTTATCACTATCTGAAATTATCTGACTTATCTGAAATTATCTGGTTTTGGCTCCTTCCCAGTGATTAACACAGTTCTTCCACACAGTAGATCAGTGGTTCATTAACAGAGAGTGGAGAGGACTGCTCAAGGAACATTGAACAGTGTCTAGAGACATTTTGGTTGTCACAAGTACTGGCATGCAACTAGTGGATAGAGGCCAGGGATGCTGCTAAACCCATTCTGCAATGCCCAGGATAACCACCCACAACAAATGACTATCTGACCCAAAACGTCAATGTTGCCAAGGTTGAGACATCCTGCAATAGATGCTTGTGGCAAGGGGTACTACATGTCCCCCGGTATCTATGCTTTCATTCATCTGTGGCAATAGATGTCCCAGATTTTTTACACAGAGGTGCCAAGCATAAAGACATTTCCCAGCTTTTTCACATAGATGGAAATAGGTAGGAATGTCATGTGGTGGCAATTTCTCTTTTTCTTCCTCTGTCCTGCTGCTTAAAGCATAGACGCTGCCAGCTTAGATCATGAGATGGCGGCCACACAAAGTGGAGCAACAAGGAGGAGGCTGTGTCGCCGGCACCATAGAGCACCACACCTGTCCTGAATTGCTGCTCAATAAGCTGTTGAATAAATAAGTGACACCAGGTATCTTCAATGCATTATCTCTCTTAGCACACTACAGAGGAATAAAAAGCCATAAACACGTTTGTCCTGTATGGTGCCAAACCTTCAGCCTTTGTATCTTGCCTATTATTTTGGAATCTTGATTAAAAATTATATCCTCTACTATCTCTGCACGTTCAACTTTTTATATTTGACTTAAGCATTATTACTTAAGCAGAATCATGCGGTGTGCTTCCGCAATATCTATGCAGATTGCACCATGGGTGTTTACAAGTCTTTTCTCCTTCCTTGTCTTTGTGATATACCCTATAAGACCCTGTGATATACCCTATAAGACCAAACACAAGAGCATCTAGTTACATTATGTGTAAAAAGATAGCATATGTTCTTGGTGATCAGCCCTTCTCTCAAATTTGAGCAAAGAATGTGTTTGAGGTGTTGGCTTTGCCCCTTGAACCAAGTGGTCTTCCTGGTTAGCCAGGCTTCTCCAGAAAGTCTATTGCTTCTCCAGAAACCTTTGTTCTCCGTGAAGTACCAACCATGGTAAGGAATGTCTGTCTCTCCAAAGGGCTGCCAATTTCCTGGAGTACATGAGACTCCTTGTCAACCAAGGGCTTCCTGGAATAACCCTCTAAGGAGGTTTACTTTCTGAAAAGTTTTTAACTTTGTTGAATCACTGACCCAAGCAACCGGTGTTAGCGATGAGGCTGTGTCATGGTAACCAACGGGGATATGCGAGCAGAAAAGGCACATGAGCCCCATCGTCCCATGATACAGTGTGTTTAACTTATCCCTTGTCGTTGACATTTAATGAGAATCTTTGTTGGCTGAAGATGCTGTAGAATCAGTAGAGTGGTTACATGCAAAGACTACCTGCATTCAAATCCCTTCTCCCTTGTTTATGACCCATCCTGAATCTCAGTTTTTTCATCTTTGAAGTGATTAAGACTCGACCTCAAGGACTTGCTGATGGGATTAAATGAGTTAATACACATAAAGTACTTTTAACCATTTCTTGTGGTAAGCTGCTCTGAATATTATGAAAACACCGGTGTCCAGTGGTAAATTGCCTCCATTTAGAAAAAAAAAATCTGAAAAAAATTTAAAAATAAGTCTTAGAAGTGCAAAGAATACTGGATATGGTTGCACAAAAATATGAATATAGTTAATACCACTGAAATGTACACTTAAAAATGGTTAAGATGATAAAATGTTATATGTATTTTACCATAGTAAAAAACAACTGGGGGAAAAATGTGGACCCCCTAGTTCTATGGATTGAAAATGTACTGTGGTGGGACTGTTAGGCAGTTTAGGATGACTTCTAGCAACCATGGGCAGCTGGTGCCCTGCTGTCCCTCTTCTTCCTCCTCAGACAAGGCACGGTGCCCAATTTGTGCAGGTATGTAATAGATGTCTGTTTATTTGGATTGAATTCAGTTGAATTCTAGGGTGTCAGATTCTTTTAGATGAGTCTTCCCATTCCCTGTCTTTAGAGTATGCCCTGTCGTCTTAAGATTATGACAAGATCAGATACAATTTTGACCAACCTTCTTAAAATATTAAGTCCCAGCCAAGTACAGTGGCTCATGCCTGTAATCCTAGCACTCTGAGAGGCCGATGCAGGAGGATCCCCTGAGTCCAGGAGTCTGAGTTTGCAATGAGCAATGATGATGCCACTGTACTCTAGCTGGGTCAACAGAGTAAGACTCTGTCTCAAAAAAAAAAAAAAAAAAAAAGTTTGTACTCCAGGCACTGACATAATCCCTTTCAAATACTATTAACAGATTTGATACTGTGAAAGGGCCTAGGTCTGGGGTGTTTCATTATCCACTCAAACCTTAACTGTATCTATTTTTTTTTCTTTGATATTTTAAGTCTATTAAGAAAAAAGGCAAGGGCAGGAGTGGATCTAAGTTTCTTGGGGCCTAGAGCAGGTATAAGAAAACAATACCAAATTACCCAAATAATATTAGGTATGAATGTGAAGATTTATTCAAAATAAGAACAGAAATCCCAAGAAATCACTCAAACTTTGGAGATTTAGATCCCTTTCTTCTAAGATCTCTTGGAGCAATTTAACAGGAATGCTTCTTGCTAGCAACCTGGCTTTTCCTTTTTACCTAGAACACTCAAGTACTCCAGTGTTCAAAAGGCCCTGTGTATCAAGAGCCCTGAAGTTTAAACTTCATTACCTCTGTATAAATCTTTCTCTAGATAAGGAATGGGAGGGCAAACTTAATGTAATCAACTTACTAAAAATCTCAAATGTTGTTAATTTTTATTTCATTTTTTTTTTTTGCCTTGCTCTGTTCTTCTTGGCAATCAAATTTTAAAGTAATATGAATCACCCTTTTTTAAATTTATACTGAGTATACTTGTTTCCTATTAGTGCTATCACATAGTACCACAAACTTCAGGGCTCAAAGCAACACAAATTTATTATCTGATAGTTTTAGAAGTCAGAAGTTCAAAATCAGTCTTACTGAGCTAAAGTCAAAGTGTTAGCAGAGCCGGTTCCTTCAGGAACATTTTCCAGCTTCTAGAGGTCACCCACATTCCGTGGTCCCTTCCATCTTCAAAGCCAGCAAGGGATGATCAAGTCTTTCTGACATCATCTCACTCTGACACTGACTCTTCTGTCTCCCTCTTCCACATTTAAGGAACCTTCTGGTTGCATTAAGCCCATGCAGATAATCCAGAATAATTTCCCTACTTTTGAGCCAGCTGATTAGCTACCTTAATTCCATCTGCTACCTTAATTCCCCTTTGCCATGTAACTTAACATACTCACAGGTTCTGGGGATTAAAACGTGGATTAAAACGTGGATATCTCTGGGAGACCATTATTCTGTCTACCACAGGGAGGGAGTAAGTTATTTGAATGCTAAATACTTTTGAAAATGCTTTTTGCCATCTGATTCCCATAACTTTTTCTTGATTCTTGATTTGGAGAATTATTTTTAGCGGGACTATCTGTGAGGGAAGCAGAGGCACAGTTCTACATTTCAGAATTGAAAGGGAGCAAGTACTCCCAGCTCAGCATGCCCAGAGTCTGCTGCCTTTGGTTTTTCCAAATGAAGGCAGCTGCAGAAAATTTCCAAACACTAGAAAATACCGCCTAAAGAAAGCAGAATTGCAAAAAGATGGCTGATTGAACACATACTTTTATTCTCTTCTAAACTGCATTTAAACTATAGTATAGTAAAGGAACTTTTTAAAGACATAAACCTACAAGGATAAAGTGAACATGAGAAGAAATGGCACCAACTTTTTGAAAGCTGCAAAATAGATGAAAAAGTGGTACTGAATTAGAAAAACTGATGAAAAATTGAATTCTCTTTCCTCTTGGGGAAAGCCAAGAGCCAAGTCTATTTATTCACTTACTTATTTTGGAGATAGGGTCTTGCTCTGTTGCCCAGATTGGAGTGCAGTGGCATAATCATAGCTCACAGTAACCTCAAACTCCTGGGCTCAAGTGATGCTCCCATCTCAGCTTCCCAAAAGTAGGTAGGACTACAGGCATGCATCACCATTCCTAGCTAATTTTTAAAATTTTTTGTGGAGATGGAGTCTCACTATATTTTCCAGTCTTGTCTCCAACTCCTGATCTCAATCCTCCAACTTCAGCCTCCCAAACTGCTGGGATTATTGGCATGAACTGCCATACCCAGCTGCCAAATCAATTTAAACCACCAAATAATCAAGGCTCAGGCATGAATGGCCCCCTACTCCTAGAAGAGAGGAGCAGGGTGTGCTGGAATAAAGAAGTTTGGTTGAAAATTGTTTGAGAAGCAGTTCAATCCCCACATGTTCCTCTCTTCCCCCAGGTTGTTAGATGATTGCTCTCTCTCTCTCTCTCCCAGCAGAAGACAGGTTTCCTCATTAAAGAAGGTAAGGCAGAGTTTCTGTTTTAATAAATGAAAAACAGGGCCAGGTGTGGTGGTTCACACTTGTAATCCTAGCACTTTGGGAGGCCAAGGCAGGAAGATCACTTGAGGCCAGGAGTTCAAGACTAGCCTGAGCAACATAGCAAGACCATGTCTCTACAAAAAATCTTTAAAAAATTAATGCCTGTAGTCCCAGCTACTCAGGAGGCTGAGATAGGAGAATTGCTTGAGCCCAGGAGTCTGAAGCTGCAGTGAGCTAGGATCACACCACTGTACCCTAGCCCGAGCAACAGAGTAAGACCCTGTCTCTCAATTAACTAATTAATTTAAAAAAAAAAAACAAAAAAAACAAAAAAGGACTAAGTAAATGATGATGAATACTAAATGTAGAACTTCTTCCTCAACCAAGAATGATGACATCCACTTCTTTACTTCCATACAGAACATTAAATGAATCTTCTTTATGTGGGAATCTTTCAGACCCAAGAGGAAAGAACTAAAGATACTCACATGGATGTTGACATCAGGGATTTCCCTAAAAAAGACCCAGGCTAGCCTAACAAACAGGAAATCTCACCATGAACAAGCCTCACCCACTCACTCAGAGCTTCCAGGCAGCTCTTGAGGCCCCCACTTCTAAATATGAGGAGGCAATTGAGCACAAAGAGATCTGAGAAAAACCTGAACAGAAAAAAAATGTAGTGAAAATAGAAAGTATGCAGGAAGAAGAATAACAAAACTCTCAATGTCTTCAGAGAGGTCACGAATTCTTATTTCAATGTACTCATGAAGTCAGAATTGGAAACTATAAAAAAATTTTCAGAAAATGAAAAAGAGCCCTTAGGAAAAAAACAGAAGGAGGGCCCAGTAACCCCCCAGCATGATGCCTGAAAATAGACTGTCTTAGTCCATTTGTGTTGCTATAACAAAATAGCTGAGACTGAGTCATTTATAAAGAACAGAAATTTATTTTCTCACAGTTCTAGAGGCTGGGGAGTTCGAGATCAAGGGGCTGGCAGGTTCAGTTGTCTGATGAGGGCTGCTCTTTGCTTCCAAGATAGCGCCCTGAATGCTGCATTCCCCAGAGGGGAGGAGTGCTGTGTCCCCACATGGCAGAAAGCAGAAGGGCAAAGAGGGTTAGACTCCCTCCACTAAGCTCTTTCATAAGAGCACCTAATCCCAAGGAGAAGTGCTCTCATCATCTAATAACCTTTTAAAGGACCCACCCCTTAATACCATCACCTTGGCCATTGAGTTTCAACCCATGAATTTTGGAGGGGACACATTCCAACCATAGTATGGATTCATGCCAGTGAACTGGGTTCAGAGAGAAGATTCTAGAAGTTTCCAGAAAACACAACACACAAAAGTTAGGGGATCTGAATAAGTTCAGATTTCTCAAAAGGAACTGTGGAACATAGAATACAGTAGAACAATGCTTTCAAAATTCTGAGGGAAAATTATTTCCAACCCAGTATTCTATAGTCAGTCAAGTAGCAAATCAAGTATGGGTGAGGAATAAAAACATTTTTAAAGACTTGTATATTCTCAAAAACTTTACCTCCCACACACCCTTTCTCAGGAAGCTAGTGGATAAAAGATGTGCTCTACCTGAAGGAATGAGTAAACCAAGAAAGAGGAAGACAGTAACCAGGAAGAAGGAGATCCACACAGGGGAGAGGCAAAAGGAATCCACAGGATGTTGGTAAAGGGAGAATGTTAGCTGAGAAGCAGCTCAGATGACTCTGGGAGAGGCTTTTTTCTAGAAGACAAAAATCAGATGCTTGATGTGACTGAACATACTGAAAGGAGACATAGGTATAAGCTGGGGGAGAATTTGGGATTCAATAGTGATAAGCATTAGGAGTCATAGTAAACAAAGCTAATAATACAAGATGAAACAAACAAAAAATAAGAAAATTAAAACTCAAGAGAACATACAAAAAAAAAGAGCCTAGGAAATAAATACCAATTTATCACATAGCTCCATTCCGAATAGAAAACAGAATTATAATAATGCAAATGCTATCAATCTAACCAAAATTGTGATTCTATATTGGGAGGATGGAGAAATGTGAGGCTGCAAAGGTTTGATAGTGGTGGGACCACAGTAAAGAGAGCTAAATCCTCATCTCACAAAGTAAGAAATGCATGAATTTAGAGATAAAGACATACCTACCAAAAAATAAGCCAAAGGATTTCAGAGTGCTTTTCCTTTGGAAAAGGAAACTGGGTGAAGCGGCTGCGTCTGTGATTTCTCTTATTCACCTTGTAAAACTAGTTGATTCCATAAATTATAAGGCTGATAAAATTTTCAAAGACATTTTAAAAGCAATATTGCTGAATTAAGTACCTTATTTTACTTTTCTGGAAACACTGTGCAGATTAATGAGATGTTTATAATACATTATGAGCTCTTTGGAAGGAAAAAATTCTTATTTAGACTTTATATAGGTCCTTAGCTCATATTAGCATTTTCATCATTTCTAGTGTAATTATATTAACATTTCACTAGCATATGGCTTTGTCTTTTCTAGAACTCTAATTAAGTTTAAATAAGATGTATGCCACTGGGAATCTCTATTTACCCTTGTTAAACACTCTTCCTATTTGATTATAATTCCACCTACTAATTCCTTCTGGTTTTTGCCTCCCAAACCATTTTTAATTTTTATGACTCAAATACAATTTGAACTGGCCCAGCAAATCATTTACAAGGTTGAGGTGTAAGATAAATTGGCAAACTAAATGGAAAAGAAGACAACCATTGGGTAGAAAACAGAGACCAAGCTTACCTCAGTTGATCAGTTTATTAAAAGAACTCATACTTTTCATAAGTACTCACTGTGTGCTAGGTTCTAATTGCTTTACCTACTCCTGTGCTATGAATATTTTTCCAATTCACTTTAAGTATTTTTAGGCACCTACTATACACTGAGCATTGTGATAAGAACAGCCAACATTCCTTGAGTACTTAGCATGTGCTAGAGTCTAATTGCTTTACTTGCTTCTTGCCCTTTAATGACTGAAGCAACCCTATGAAGCAGATATGAATATCATCCCCAATTTGCAGATGAGGAAAATGAGACATAAAGAGTGTGAAAATAAATACAATTTAAAAGCTATTGGAACCATAAAACTCTGTAAGCCTTGAGAGAGATGTGACTGTGATCTGAGACATGTAGTTGTAATTTCTGCTTCCTAAATTATAGATTAACTCTCCTCATTGTTCTTGTTTTGTAAATGACTAGGAGAGACCAGGGGTCGGACTTCCTCCCCTTCTAATCACTGATCTCTGTAGTAGAATTAACTGCCTCCTTTATTATCCTGTATCTAACCCAGACCAGATGGTGCAAAAGGCCCCATAACTGTTACATCTTCAGTGTGGAATGTTACATATACCTTTGCAGAAAAGAAAACGATCACCTCAACTAATCAAATTACTGTAACCATGTATTAAACCTCATACAGAAAGATGTTGAAATTCTGTTAAGCTTCCCAAACCTTATCTATAGAAATGACCCCCAACTTCTACACTGCAGGACACTGACTTCCACTGTTCAGAATCTGTGCTTCCTGAGTGACTATGCTCAAACTTTGCACTTGAATAAACACTCTTGAAATCAAATTCTGACTGTTTTTATTATTTTAGGTTGACATTTTGTCGACCATGAAGGGACTTGAAGCAAGCCACTCATGACCCCTGCCACTCCACCAGCAATCCGGGCCTTGGTATCAGCATGAATGGCTCTTGTTTACCTGACCTTGCTGGAGTTGGCCTGGTCTCTGGTGAGATTCCTCTTGGCTTTTAAATCTCCCAGGTTTTGGTTGAGTTTCAGACTTTATTCAAGCAACCTGATTCCATGGAGCTAGAATTGAAGCTCTGCCTTAAGACAAGGTAACAGTTTTTTGTTTTGTTTTGTTTTTTTTTTGAGACAGAGTCTCACTCTGTTGCCCGGCTAGAGTGCCATGGCAACAGCCAGGTCACTGCAACCTCAAACTCCTGGGTTCAAGCAATCCTTCTGCCTCAGCCTCCGGAGTAGCTGGGACTACAGGCATGTGCCACCATGCCTGGCTAATTTTTTTTCTATATATTTTTAGTTGTCTGACTAATTTATTTCTATTTTTAGTAGAAACAGGGATCTCGCTCTTGCTCTGGCTGCTCTCAAACTCCTGACCTCGAGCGATCCTCCTGCCTCAGCCTCTCAGAGTGCGAGGATTATAAGTGTGAGCCACCACGCCCAGCCAGAGTACTGTTTTTTGTTCCTAGAGATTCTGCTGTTTGCAGATTTGTGATTTTCAGTTTTCTCTGAGGTAAAGGGTTGTTTGTTGAACTACCCATTAGAGTTTGTACAGCCTTTTCTCTCATTCACATTGTTGTTAGGGAAGGAAATAGGTTGTTTCTCTGAGAAGAGGAAGTGAATGTTTGTGCTTATGCAAAATTTGTAATTAAAAAATTTGTAATTAAAAAAAACTGGCTGAACTCTGAAGCTTGGTTCATCTGGCATATCTAAAGTCCCTTTTTGAGTGACTAAAACCAATGAAAAGCTTTCTCTGAGGATGAAAATAAGCCCTGAAGATAATGGACACTCTTCCTCTTGGCTGAAAGGCACCTTAGGTGTCTCGCTGGCTCCTTGTCTGAGCTCATTGCTCATGACATGCAATGGTCCCACAGGGAATCCCCAAAGAAGAACATACAGGGAATCTTCCTTAACCTTGTGGGCACATATGAAGGGCTGATCTACTGCCTTAAGTACCCGAGGTTCCTGGGTTTCCCTGGGACACGTATGTAATAAGGGAGAAGCAACTCAGGGGTGACACCTTGAGGAGTAATCCCCATTACGCAGCACCCTAGAATCATTGCATCTTTCTTTTTCAGTCTTTGTTCACTTAAAAAGAGAATCCAAATTATGAGCAATCATTTATCTAAAACTGAGTCTTCCTCCATAAGAGAGATCCACTTTTAGAAACTCTAGCTGGATTCATGTACGATACTTATGGTGCCACCTCCTATCAATATCTAGAAAAATGATCTTCATCTATGAAGACCCCCAACTATAATGGCCAAAATGGAGTGCCTTTGAAATACCTAACTCAGTTTATTTGTGTGCATAATTAGAAAAAAGTTAGCTCTTAAATTAAGTAAAGTAATTGGGAGAGTTACTTTCAGTGATACTCAGAAGCATCCAAAATAGGCTCTGACAAAGTTCTTTCCCTGCAGGAAAGAAAAATTTAAAACTCTCTAAAACCATTTCTGAATTAAAACTGTTGAAGTTTCTTCTTCCCCTCCATCCTTCCCCATCTCTTTATCCCACCTTGCCCAGACTTGCCTTCTTTTCCTCCTCGTTCCCTTCCTCCCACTCCCGCTATTTTAGCTCCATTTTGTGAGCAGCCAGTATCTCGTAGGGGAGAAGCTGCCTTAGTTGATCAACTGTGGTCAAAGGTAGAACTTAGAGGCATTATAAGGAATTTCTTGATCCTCATCAGAACCCTATTGGTTTTGCCAGGGAATTTGAACTAAATATTTCATCTTATGACCCTTGTTTTTCTGATTTGTAGCAACTACTTCACATGTTGGTATCAGAAAGTAAAGCTAAGGATTGGATAGCTAATGCACATTGGACGAACCCCTTGGAAGACTTTCAGAAATTTTTAGACGATTATAGCTGTGCCCATAAAGTTGCAAAGGCTTTGCTCAAAGCCATCCCTTTAGACTTCCAAAGAGTGGTAAACTGGAAGAAAATATAACCATGTCAACAAAATCTAAGTGAGTCAGTAGTAACGTATTTTGAGAGATTTGAAAATATCTTTAAACAATATTCAGCATTATCTGAAGAGAGTTATGCTAATCATCAAAATGATACTCTCAATTCCATTTTCATAAATGGGTCAGATGAAGAATTGGCACTAATAGTAAAAAGACAATGCCATAGTTGGGCTACTTCTCAAATTATGATTTGGTTAATCTTGCTTGTCAGTTATCTCACACCTTAGCTAAAGAGGAGAGGGAGAGAGAAGCCAAACAAAAGAATCAGGCTAATAAGATTATGAATTTGCAACTAAAACAGCTATCCATCCAGTCTTGACCTCCACAATACCCCAGTAAACCTCAGGATGGACCTAACCATCTGTTTTATAATTATTGCAAAAAGTCTGATCACTTTAAGAAAGAAAGATTGCCAGAAACTAAAACAGAGAGAACAACAGGCAATGAAAGAAGAGAAACAATAGGAGAATTCTGGGGAACGTAAAGGGACCTTTCCTTTCCTCCTTACTAACACTCTAGGGGAAATAGATATTATTTTAAACAAACACAAGCTCTTGTTGACACTGGAGCTGTGTTATCTACAATAATTCCTATCTTATTACAAGGTCCGATTTCTCAGAGCAAACAAACAATTCAAATGGTTAGTGTCACTACTACTCTGCTATCAGCACAATCTCAGCCTGTAGATTTTCAGCTAGGTCCTTTACAAGATACTTATGTTTTTTCTCTGAATTCCCTCATCCCTCATCCATTTGATAGGAACAGACTTCTTACAGCTAATCTAAGACTTCTCAGAATACCCGCATTTCTTTTTCTTTTTAAAATGAGGTCTCACTCTGTTGCCTGGGCTACAGTGCAGCAGCAGCAGCCTAGCTCACTGCAAGCTCAAACTCCTGGGCTCAAACAATCCTCCTACCTCAGCCTCCTGAGTACCTGGGACTACAGGCATGCACCACCACACCCAGCTATTTTTTCTATTTTTTGTAGAGATGGGGTCTCACTCTTGCTCAGGGTGGTCTCAAACTCGTGGCCTCAAGCAATCTTCCCACCTCAGCCTCCCAACGTGCTACTGTGCCTGGCCACATTTCTTATTCCCAAAAGGGAGAAATTTATCTAGGTTTAGACAACAAAATTGAATTATTAGCTATAATGAATTTTTCAGAATCTTGTTCTCTTTATTCAGAAATTGCAATTCATATTGCCATAGAGGACATAATTATTGAGTGATGAAGAATTATGAAAATTGCTAAAGGCAGTACCTGATCAATTATGGTCAGTCTTCCACTGATATTGGAAACATTTTCTTGGCCGGCCCAATCAAAGTTCATATAGACCCATCAAAACCTCTTCTAAACCTTAAACAATACCCTTTAAAACCAGAAGCTTTAGAAAGTATAAGGCCTATAATTCTAGACTATATAAAAAGAGGTATGATTATTCCCTGTACAAGTCCATGTAACACTCCAATGCTTCCTGTAAGAAAACCAAATGGTAGAGGATGGAGGTTTGTACAGGATCTGAGAGCAATTAACAACTTAGTCATTACTCGCCGTCTAGAATTGTCAAACCTCCATACATTGTTGACTGTCTCCCTACTAAAGGTGAGTTCTTTACTATGATATATTTATGTAGTGCATTCTTTAGTATTCCTATGCATAAAGATAGTCAATTTCTCTTTATTTTCACTTGGGAAGACAGACAATACACAGGGACAGTCATGCCTCAGGAATTCACTGAGAGCCAAATTTGCTTTTCACAAATATGAAAAGCATACCTCTGAGATAGTGATGTCTTTAAGAAATCCGTTTTAATACAACGTGTGGATAATATGCTTCACTGCTCAGAGGGTAGGCAAGCCTTCATAGAAGATTGGATTCACTAGTTATAACAATTAGCCTTACAGGGACACAAGACCTCAAAATAAAAACTTCAGTTTTGTCAAAAACAAGTAAGATATTTGGGTTATGTAATATCCAAGGAAGGTCTTTTTGTCCACCCAAATAGGCTAAAAAGAATATTGGCCTTCTCTACCCCAAAAACTAAGAAGCTACCCAGAGGATTTGGGGGACTAGTAGTATGCCATAGAAATTGCATTCTACACTTTTCTTTAAAAACTCAACCTTTATATAATCTTTTAAAAGAAGATAAGCCAGACTTCCCGTGATTGAGGAGAATCAGTTAACATTGGAAGAAATTTAAAACAGCCTTATAGATGCCCCAGTTTTAGAACATCCATATTATAATATTCCATTTTCATTGTTCATAAAAATCAGGGAAACACATTAGGCATCCTGACACAAAAACATGGAGACCAAAACAGACTTATAGTACACTATAGTCAGCCACAGGACACTGTGGCTAAAGGACTGCCATCTTGCATGAGAGCAATGGCCACCACTGCTCTGTTAGTAGAGCAACTGAAAAAACAGTGACGGGATATCCGCTCACTGTCTTTGCTTCACATTCTGTGGGAGCACTTCTAAATTCATAGCACACTCAACATTATTCTGTCAGCAGATTAGCTTCTTAAAGTAGTCCTTCTCTCTGTACCTCACATTACGATCTGCAGTAATCTAAACTCTGCCACTCTTCTGCCTCTGCCATCAGATGAGGCCCTGCACAATTGCATAAATCTTAACTGACCAGCTTCTCTCTCCTAGAATGAACCTGTAAGAAACTCCCCTTACTATGGCTATTTGCTTTACAGACAAATGTTACTTATAGGATGAAGGTATGGCATGAACCAAACAACTCGCCTATACTTCCTGTTGAATTATAGTCATCGTTTTTAACCTATGTACATGATTGAACTCGTTAAAGCCCTAATAAAATGGTTACTTGGGGAAAACAATATTTTTTGAAACCACCTCTAACTAGAGTTTGTAAGGTGTACAATTGCTGCCTCATCTGCCCAACAACCCAGGGAAACCTTTACACAGTTCCCAAGGACATTTTCCTTTATTCGAAGGCCACTTTGAAGTCTGGCAGTTAGATTTTATTCAGCTGCCACCATCACAAGGATACAAGTATGTTCTAGTGATGATTTGCATGTTTTCTCATTGGGTAGAAGCATTTCCGTGCAGAAGAGTGTCTGCCTTATCAGTAAGTAAAATTCTTTTAGAAAAGATTATTCTGACCCAGGAAGTTCCTTTAGAACTCCACAGTGCCTGAGGTAACTCATTTTACCAGACTGATAATCCAATCAGTATATAAAATTTGGCCCACCCTCCAACACTTTCATTTTATTGTGCATATCATCCCCAATCATCTGGATTGGTAGAGTGTACAAATGGAATAATTTAAGACTCAATTGGCAAAAATAACAGAAGTTTTTAAGATTCCATGAATGAAGACTCTTCCATTTGTTTTGCTTAAGCTAAGGTCAACCTCTTTCAGAGAACATCAGTTGTTCTCATTTGAAATAATAACTGGCAGACCTATGAATCTGTCCCTAGAAAAGTGTAACTCCTTAACTGTAAGGAGGATATGTATTCCTTTACTGTTCTAACCTTATGAAATAGTTAACTAAGAATTATAATCTAGTGAAAGACTCTTTTCTTAGTGGGCTCCCAGGAAACAAAGGATTCAACACTCACAATTTTCAACCAAGATATTTTATCTACTGGAAACAATGTCTTTTAACCACTTTGGTACCAACGTCAACTGTAGTAGACAGCCACAGATGAACACACACAACGACTTTAGCCAACAGCCGTGATATGACTTTGCTAATTTTTCATTTATCAAAATAAAATTGTGAACATTTAAAAATAAAGTAATGAAAACATATATGTATATGTTACCTATTCTGATTTACATGACAAGTAAAGCTGCCTGTAAAGTAAAACAAGCTTTCAGTGCTTTAAAGCTTTCCTCATCACACAAGAGCAAAACGGATCCGTCGTCAATGCACAGCACAAACTATCGTGTGGACTATGAATGCCGGCTGTGGGCGAGGTTTCGCAGCCGGTGAGCGCCAGACCAAAGTGCTTAAAAGACACTCTCCAACCAAAGTGGAAGAGCCCTTATTAAGTGCTTCTCACTAATGCTTGGTTGTTAAATTAGAAGGAATAATCTCCTGGATCCATATTTCTCATCTAAAAAAGGCTGTATGTCCCAAGTGGACTATTTTCCCAGAAGGTGACCTCCAACTCAAAATAAGTCAAGTCTAGCCCAAGAAGAAGACACCTCTGATGTAGACAACTAAAACCCAAGAGTCCAGACCAGGCCTGTGTCTAATTGAACACTCATTGTTAACAACCGTTAATAGGTGGGGAAGATTTTCCTTTATGAGCCCCCAGTAAAGTTCTTTATTTTTGTCCTTAGTTCTCATGTCTTGGTACTACCCTCACCAGCTGTTGCCTGTGAAGCAAATCTTTTGCAGTGGTTCCAGTACTATGCTGATAGACTACACAAAGATGCTTGCTGGGTATGCAGTCTCACATCCCTTTCCACTAGGTCTGGTTCTCCAAGGTGGGCATATCTCCTCTCCCTGGACAAGATGGCTAGAATATTATAAATATATCCATTTTTCTAAGAACCATTCATCAGTACTTGACACTAGTATGACCAAGGATAATGTACATTACTGGTCTATTAATAATATTTTACAGTATAAAGGGCGTGGGAAGAGCTGCTTCTTCTTTTATTTTATTTTTCTTTTTCTATTTTTTTTAGCTTCAGAGTGATTTTATTCGAATGAACATGCCCTCTGGACCCTTGGGGCGATGTCTAATTTTCTTGGGGTGAAGGGAACGGTGTGCGGATTTAAGGTCTGTACGAACCCTCACATCCCAGGTATGGAAGCATAAGAAAACTGAAAAGCCCAGGCTTAATCTTAAAATAGATAAAAGGAAACTCACAAGCAATGACGTTACAACCACTCGGAGCGATCCGCTGCCATTTCCTCAGACAACTGCACACAGGAGAGCCAAAGGTGCTTCTTTGGTAAAATAACTAGTTCATTAGCTTTAACACTGGCACTGCCTCAGCTGAGGGATGAAACACTGGTACTGCCCCAGATGACAGGTAAGACAACTCAGTTTCAGGAAAGTATAACACAAATGTGGGATGGTGTTTTCTGGCTTACCCCCTCCTGTGGTTAGCTCAATCAACTTACCTCCTTATGTTGGGAACATGGAAATAATAGCAAAGATACCTGGCCCAGTGGCACTAGAGATATGAGAGGGATACCCAAAGAACACTATCCACACCATTATATTACAAAGTACTAACTGGCATGCCACTGAATGTGCACAATGACCAGATATTTATGGGTTAGCTCCAAATGGATGCCTCAACTATGTGGCACTAACTTATGTCCATGGTTACCCCCAGGATGGTTAGGACAATGTCCTTTGGGTTATACTTAGGCACAAGGTTGAGTAGTTCATAACCTGTCAAAACCTGCAAATTTTCCTCATTTGCAATCTCACTGGGTCCATTCTGTGTTCCACTGGTATGATCATTTAGCTTTCATCTTCATACCACAACAGGATATTGAGGATATCATTTGGCATGTAGAGGCCCTAGCCAATTATCCATAAAATGCCCTAAATGGTAGCTGCATGGGTATTTTCTTATTAAACAATGAAGTTACTCTTATGAGAAAGGCTGTGTTACAGAACTATATGGTTTCAGACCTACTCACTGTATCCAGAGAGGGAACCTGTACCTTCATAAAAACTGAGTGCTGTGTCTATATCCCAGATGAATCAGATAACATCACTGTATTAATTGCTAATATGAAAACTCACATAACTAACCTTTTAGATCCAACATTCTCTCCAAATGATTGGCTAAGTAGCTGGTTTGAATCTTGGGGAACTTGGTGGCAAAGTTCTTTTTTGCAGGAATTATAATCTCCTGTGTTTTGTCCTGTTTTTGTCTTTCCTGCTGCAGCATTTGTTTGCGATGGAGTCAACACATGACTGAAAAGACCAAAATAGTGGTTGCTGAAAGAATTTAACATGTTATTGTTTAGCTTGACTCCAGTAACAAAATCACCTCCTTCATGTTGCTTTAATCTTGGCCTATACTCCAGCAGCTTTATAGCTTGTCCAATCCCCCTTCATTGTAAGACATGACATTCTAGGAATGAGCCTTCCTAGTGATGTGGGACTAAACTCAAGGACATAAAGGAGTCAAAATTATTGAGTTCATCTATGATGCTTTCTTTGAAAGATCTTGATGGAAAGGGGAAAATGTGCAAATAAATAAAATTTAAAAGCTGTTGGAACCCAAAAACTCTTTAAGTTTTAAGAGAGATTTAACTGTGATCTGTCATGCAACATGTCGTTGTGACTTCTGCTTCTTAGATTATAGATTAACTCTCTTCCTCATTGTTCTTGTTTTGAAAATGACTAGGAAAGACCAGGGACCAGAACTCCTCCCCTTTCAATCACTGGTCTTTGCTATAAATTAACTGCCTCCTTATTGTCCTATACCTAATTTAGGCCAGATGGTGCAAAAGACCCCGTGACTGTCACATCTTCAGTTTGGAACGTTAAAGATACCTTTTCAGTAAAGAAAAAGATCACCTCAACTAATCAGATTACTAAAACTATGCATTAGAATTTATATAGAAAGATGTTAAGATTCTGTTAGGTATCTACCTTATAACTGACCTCAAACTTCTACACGTTGGAACACTGACTTCTATTCTTTGGAATCTGTGCTTCCTGGGTGATCATCCCCAAACTTAGCACTTGAATAAACTCTCTTCAAACTATATCCTGACGCTTTTGATTATTTTAGGTTGACAAGAGATTAGGTGTATTTCCTGAATTTCTTAGAGAGTAGCCGAGCTGGGAATCAAATTCCCAGCTCATACTCTGAATCAGTGCTGTGTGTCACCTCCCACTAGACAGTGATGGGCAACATGGAGGATACCACAAAACTAAGGAAGAAAGGGCCAGATGTGGTGGCTCACACCTGTAATCCTAGCACTCTGGAAGGCTGAGGCGAGAGGATTGCTTGAGGTCAGGAGTTCAAGACCACCCTCAGCAAGAGTGAGAGTCTGTCTCTCATATTTAAAAAAAAAACCAAAATATATATATATATACATATATATATGTAATAAAACTAAGGAAGAAAGGAAAAGGAATTAAGTTTATTGGGCACTTTACTATGGTCCAGAAAGTTCTATCATTGTATTTAATTATGATGATAATGTAATGAATATTCCTTCATTATACATTGAGAAAGGTTAGAAAACTTGTCCAAGGTCAAAGACATAAGCTTTAGCCCTCAAGAAACTTATTTCTACTGAGGGTAAACCTACACACAGAAGGAACTGGCAAAGCTATAAGATGATGTAGAAAATCTGTCATAGGAATAAAAGTATAGCAAGATCTTCAAGGAGAAAGTGTTAGTCCAAGGGAGATGCCGGTCAGGCTTCTGTGAGGAAAAGGAGTTTGTGACCTTAGACGTGATGTATAGGATTTGGATAAATAGAGAGGAGAGGTGAACAGCATTGTTCTTGATTGTTGCTCTTTTCTGTACTTGTAATTTTCCTCTTTTGGTAATTGTCTTATTATTTTACAAGACATGGACTTTAGGGTTGACAAAAAGTCATTTCCTGATTCACCTCTTTTGATAGAAATTTCAAAGCAGAGACAAATGCCTAAACTTAGAAAACCATAAGATACGTGAGAGAAAGAGCAAAATACAGAAAAGGAAGAGAAAGGATGTTGTTCTCCTGAGGTTAGTATAGGGTGGAAAGGGTAGACATCGGGAAATGAAGAAATGAAAGGAAAGAAAAATTTAGAAAAGGAAAGTGAAATTAAAGAAAGAAAAGTGGAATTCCCAGAGGGAAATCTATTTTGAATTATGACTTGGGTTTAAAACTTTCATGGCCCAGGCCACTGATCTGAATGCTCTTAGAGAAGCTATCATAAATAAAATGCTAAGCTAGTCATGTTTTTTGTTTTAAAGAATGTTAGAGGTATGAAAGAGAAGAAAAGTTTTCTCAGCCAAGACTTTTGTCAGCCTCTTCAGATCAGTAACACGTTGTCTCAATCTGGGGAAGTATTGCTACTGCTTAGCATTTGGGGTGAAGCCAACTGCAATGTTCAGCAAATATGGGTTCTATCTACTTGAAAATAATTGCCTTTACATCTTGTGACATCTTCCATGGACTCTGCAATGAAAATAAATTATAATCCCTTTGGGTGGGAGCAACTAAATTAGAAAGAAAAATGATTAGAAACAGAAGGCAGCTTGACGCTTGTGATGCCAGATTTGTTCAACATGTGATTCAAAAGCTGTGGATAAGTTTTTCTGGCCAGTCTCCCAATTAACAACCTTTAGCTTACTCAAAAGCCAAAATCCATGACTCAAAAGAGCGTGCTAGAAAGAAATTTTTGACAGATAAAATTAGCTATTCCTGGCAACATCAAATAACATATACATATACTCATGTACCTTTTTTTTGGGAATGAAGCTCAAAATACACCAAGATCTAACTTAAACTGCTCCCCAGTGCTCTAAAACTCAACTATAATAGCTAACATTTATCAAGTGCTTACTACATGCCAGGCATTACATTTAATTCTTACACCAACATTATGAGATAAGGACTATTCTCACATAATCTTACTTTAAAGATGATGAAACTGAGTCCAGGGCAAAATTAATAACTTGATCAAGGTCACACAGAATATGACAGAGCCAGAACTGAAAGTGAGACAATCTAACTGCACTACACTCTTAGAATAAGTCCTTATCCCAAAGGAGTTTATAACCTAATACTGGGTTCAGAAAAGTACCCTTCAGTGTGGTAAGTGCATGCATACTAAGAGTACTAAGGACAATGAAGTAAAGTCATCTAACCTTGCCTTTGGCTATTAGGGAAGTCACCATCAAAGGGACAGTTAAACCAAGACAGAAGCCAGGGATGGAGAAAGAGGGAAAGAATTCTAGACAGAGGAAGAAGCAGGTCACCAGGTCCAGAGATAAAAGAGAGCTCAGTATCACGGGTGCATAGAAAGAGAGGACTGATGGCAATGGTGAGCCATTTTGAAAGATTTTAAACTAAGGGTGAGCCTGACTAGATGTGCATTTCTGAAACTTTTGGGAGTTGCTTTGGAGAATAACAAGAGGAGAGTCAAAGAGACCTGCTAGGCTATTGCCTTGGGGTAATCCTGGCGTGGCCCTAGGCAGTAGCAGTGGAGATGGAGAGAAGCAGATGAACTGGATAGCTATTCAAAAAGTGGCCTTGACAGTAGATGACATTAAAGGTAACAAGAAGGAATCAAGATGGCTCCTAAGTTTCTGGCCTGAGCAACAGGATGGGTAGGATGCCATTCACCAAAATGGGAAATCCAGGAAGGAGCAGGTTCAAGAATAGGAAGAAGGCCAGGTATAATGGCATATATCTGTAATTCCAGCACTTTGGGAGGCTGAGGTGGGAGGTTGGCTTGAGGCAGGAGTTCAAGACCAACTAGACAAAAAATTTAAAAATTAGCCAGGCGTGGTGGCACATGCTTGTAGTCCTAGCTACTCAGGAGGTTGAGCCAGAGGGATCACTTGAGCCAGTGACTTTGAGATTGCAGTAAGCTATGATGATGCCACCACATTCTACCCTGGGCAACAGAACCATACTCTGTCTTTAAAAAAAAAAAAAGAATAGAAAAGGGCACATGCTCTCACATTCTGTTCCCTTCTCTCTCTCTCTCACTCTCACTCTCTCTCTCCACTGCGTGAGGACATAGCAAAGGCAGCCATCTGCAAGCCAGGATGAAGACCCTCACCAGATCCCAACCATGTTGGCATCCTGATCTTGGACTTCCAGCCTCCAGAAATTTGAGACATAAATTTCTATTCTTTAAGCCAAAAAAATTCAAATAAACAAAAAGAATAGGAAGACAAAAAAACCAATGATTAGGGGAAGGGTAAGATGACCAACTGGAGACATTGGTCCCCAGATCATCCCAAAAGGAAGAAAAAGCCTCAGGTGCAAAATCTTAACTCAGGGAAAATACTAAGGGAAGGTGCCAGAACTTACCCTTACCAGACATCCCATGGGAAGAAGTTTCAGAGCAGAACAAGAAGAAGCAAGATTTTGGCAGAGACTGACCCGGCAGGAATTGGAGTCTAGCAGAAAGGGTGGGTGGGACTGTTTACTTTTCCTCCCCTAACACCTGCCCGAGAACTTTTCTACCCTGGCAAATCCAGGTTGCCTCCCCGACCTCAGACCCAAGCTGAGACAGTGGGCACTATACTGCCTGCACACACGCTGGGTTCCTCTCTTCTGCCAGGGAAGTCACAGCCCCTCAGTCTCCTTGTCACTTGATCCCACATGAACATTTCCCATTTGGACTGTGACACCACAAAGGAACAGGGAGACACAGGAGAGCAGCAGGGGTCCTGGAGTGTTGACCCGCAGGACAGGCTGCTCCAAGGGAACTGGGAAGTGCTGTGAATGCTTTGTAGGACAGAGGAAGGCAGCACGCACACTTTCCTTGCACCTCAGAGCCCCTGGCTCACGATTCAAAATTGTCTGCTCCCCTCCCAGTGGAGACGCAGGTACAGAGAGGAGCCCATAGGGTAGCAGAGTGTCCTCACTCCAGAGCAGAAGCAGTACCAGAGCCCAAGAAGGGATGTAGAGATGGGGACCTCCTCTCCTCCAACCACCCAGTGCTGTGGACGCAGCCACTTCTGCTCCCAAGATGAGCTTTTGGCATGGGTGTGCTGTGGGACAGCCAGCTCTAGGTGCACCCCCAATAGTACTCTGCTCACCACACCCAGGTTTTGCACAAAGGGTGTGGCTCATTTCCTTCATAGACAGGCAGCATTTTTGCAGCTGTCCTGACCAAGGAATCTCAGCTCCTGGGTCTCTACATTGCTGAATGCATAGCCAACACGCCCCAGGACCCACTTGGACCTCAGCAGCCTTGGGGGACAGTGGGTCCCAGGGGGAGCTATGGGTCTCCTGGAGCTTGGGCATTCAGTGTGGGCTGCTTCCAGCTAAGAAAAGAGTACAGCACACCAGGGGACCCCTTAAGACAAATGGGGACCAAGGTACCAGCCTCCTGACCCCACATTTGGGGCCTACTCTTCCTCCTCCCCTCTGCCACTACCACTGCCAATGCAGCTATGGCTATTTCTGCTTGGGACTGGTGAGGGTTCCACAGGGGGCAATTAAGCCAGGGCACATGGGAGCAGCTGCCTTGCCTCTGACAGAACACCTATCATACCCAGGACTTCCACAAAGGTTGGGGTTCACTCCTTTCCCTCTAAAAAGCTCCAGAAAGCACTTTTATGTGCCCCAAGAACAAAAACTATCACCTCCACTGAGGAATGGCAGGGCTATCTGTACTCTTCCAGAGCTGCTCATCTCTTCTGGGAGGAGTCTACTCACCCTGGCATCTGGACACTTTTGTGTCCCCGAAGGACAGAGACCACTGTCACTACTGAGGTAGGTAGGTGTGAACAGCTTGTGTGGCCCACAGCTGCTTGCCTCTGCTAATATTGTCAAGATGGGCCAGCTTCTCCTGTCCAGGCTCACAGTTCACCTGCTATTGCCCTGCCTCAGTATCCTTCTGGACCAGAAGATCACCTCATTCCTCACTATCACAGCCCTTGCCTGAACTCAGGGGGGCTTGAGGGCAAGTTTGCCAGCCTGGTCTCAGTCTGGTCCTCCCAGGACTCAAGGATGATATCCAGGTGCCTGGGGACTAGGGACTACCTAATTTTGTCTACCATTGCCTGTGACTAAACATTCTCTCCAGGTCTGAGGTCCAACTGACCCAAATGTCAGCAACACTATAGTGGGTACTTACATGCATGAGCCAAAGGGCAGCATACCTCTTTCTCTCTATGCTCAGCAGCAGAGTTCTTGGCAGAGGATAACAG